TGGAAATTACACTCTGAGAAATGAGTAAGGGAATTTTTGAAATTACTAACTGTAATACGGATGGAAGTCGAGGGAATTGCTTATGCCTCCAAGAGATAATGTTTTCATTTTAATTTATTTATTTTAATTATGTTATTTATTCATTTGAGATTGGAAAAACATATGAATATGTCAACTTACTTCATTTATTAACAGAATTACCAGGAAATTTTATAAGAAATAAAAATATGGTAATTTTTCAAATTTTCCAAATAATATAGTAATTTACTTAAAACAAATCGCAGTCTGAAATAAAACCAAATACCCAACTCGTATAAGAGAAGAAATATTTTCTTGAAATTAGAGGCTAATACTTGTATTATTTGAACCAGCCTCATAAAACATGAATTCTTTGTTATTGGAAGACTTCAGTTTGCTCAGAGAAATCGATCTAGTGCCAATTGTGCTTAAAATTAAGCCTAAGCCATAAAATATCCGCATAAATTGAAATGATCATATGATTATAAGAGATACTAATATGTATCCAATATATAATATTTGTAATCTGATTAAATGAGGTATTAGGAATATGCATTCGCCTATAAGTGCCAGAGATATATCGTGTTAGAAATAATTGAAGCCCTGCATAAAACGAAGTAGTCTGACTACACCTTTTCCAAACATTGACACTTCAGGACCAACATAAATGCCTCAGTCATATTGAATTGTGCTCAGTGCATTATCGTGGAGTCTCTCCCGCATTTCCTCAGGCAATTTTCCCTGTTTCCATCTGCTTGCCAGTTAATTTTATATAAATTTCCATGCCGTGTTTCGTGCTGAGTACTATATAGTATATGGTGCGAGTATATGTATGCATGTGTATGTGTATGTGTTTCGCATACGCATACAACAAACATGTTTGCCATTTTCAATTGCCAGCTCTACGCAGTCAGCCGAGTCAGTCGAGTCAGCCGTGTTTTGGGGCCGCTGTTGCTTCTCGTGTCGCTTCTTCTTTTTCTATCTGTCAGTGTCATGTCACGTACGGCAAAATGCATTCAATATGTCCAATGCATTGTTGTCGCTGACACTGATACTGTTGTTGTTGTTTCCATGCTGCAGGAGTGTAAATTTAATTTAGTTAATTGAAACAATTTGTTGCATATACTCGTAGTATAACAACAGCGACAGCCCTGCGTGAGCTGGATTGAAAAAAAAAAAGGAGAGGGAAACAGCAGCACAAGAGCCGAGTCGGTTTTAACTTATTTTGCGTTTGAGGCATTTTCTTTTTATTTATTCCGTATTATTGAAAAGTCTATAAAGCGTCGTCCGACAAACATGTCAATTTATGTGCGCAGCGGGCGTCTGCTTTCCAATTTGATTGAAAATGCATGCAAAATACTTTGTACATTGATATATTAATATATATTTTAAACAGGCGCAGAAAAAAGAGAGAAAACTCTTTGATTAATTTGCCAACAAATTGAGCCAAAGGTGAAAGCTTTTATATTATTTTATACGGCTTTAGACTTTAACCCTTTATCAGCGATACACAAAAGCTCATTCTGTGCATTACTAATAGCACAAAAATGTTTGTATATGGCCATTAATTTTGTTAATAGGTTATTAGTTCATGCCTAACCTGCTTGAGCTTTTAAGAGCTTTAAAAATCACCACAAATTAGTGCTATATATGTACTATTTGCACAAATAGTGGCTCATATTAGCTTTCTCTAGGCATAATGTTATTTTCTTATTTTATTTCAATTCATTTTCTTTTAATAAATCAAACATCAAATACAATAAAAATGTGGAATAATATTACGTGATTATAATTTCAAGTCAAAAGATAAGAAAACCTCAAAATTAAATGAACAGTAGTGTATGTATATTAATTTTATCTGCTATTGGGGCAGCTATGCCCTGCTTCAGAGCCATATGTGTAGGTGGGAGACCTAAATTATAGTTAGTAGAATAGAAAAATTAATTCTACTTAAGAGCTAATTAGATGAAGTAAGGAGCAGAAAGCTACATTTTGATGGATCGAAAGAGATGTTGTAAATGAAGGAGGAAAACATTCGTTTGATGAAAGATACATTTTTATAAATTTTCAAAAGATATTACTTTTTAGAACTTGCATTGAATGATTATAAATATTTCTTTATTGTAAGTTTTCCCTTCGATGTTATTGCAAAGCTGTTTTTACATGAATGCTCCTCTGCTCTTTCTTGCGATAATTAGAAATGGAACAAATGTCGACTACCTATGTACAGCCTCACCCTTCCCTGAGTACAAGCAATAAATTTTATGCCTCACACGTTTGACAAACACTCTGTACATAAATAAAGCAAATAAATTTATCGTATGTTTGAACACGTTTCGAATGCAACTGCAGCAACAATAGCAACAACAATAGCAACTACAATAACAACAGCAACCCATCAACTAATTCAAATTGAATGCGCAAAAAACGCATTTGAGCGTTAAAATGCAAATTACAATAAATTCCAAGGGCCACCCGGTATTGAGCAGCCCACCCAGACCCAGAATTCTCAGACCTACAAGTATGCAAACACTTGGCAAATTTGCGTAAAATATTTCGTATTTACCTTGCACTTGACGCTAAGCAAACTATAAGATACATTTGAGCTTCTGCAATTGCAGGCTGGGCCAGGCTGGGCGGGGATGCGATGCAATGGAATGGGATGGGTTTTGTTGGGGGAATGTACGTGTACGTGTGAGTGCGTCCTGTGCGTTGCCTCTAAATAAACATGCAAATTGTGAAAATAAACTTCGAGTTGGGCCAATGGTTGCACATTTTGTGGCTTAGTTTGAGGGTCGAGGGTTGAGTGCCATATGGGTGGCTGCTGTTGTCATTTTGAATGACAGGCCCGACCAAGTCAAGTGCGTCCATTGTTGTTACTGCCACTGCAGTTGTTGTAGTTGCAGCTTGCAACAAAGTGCATTATTCGCCTGATGTTGTTGTAGCTCCTGCTTGCCATTATGGCCAATGCATAAAACCTCACGATATGTAGTTGACTGCCGGGTTGACTTGTTTCGATAGGTGCTAAGCTTTTATCACATATGTACATGCAGTCATGGCTGTGCTGCAACAGCTGCTGTTGCACTTTACACTTTGCATTGTTATGGTTTTGAAGGACCCAGACACTCTGCACGGAATACCCTTCACAGCCGTTTATGCAATATACATAGATATAGGTATGGCCACAGTATCGCGACGTTTAATTTAAATGCAAAAGTAACGCTTCGCCAAACTCCTGCGGCGGAGGCGCAAATTGTCTTCTCCGCCCAACCTGGAGAGCAGACCTCGCGGCTCCCTCGCCATGCCTTGGATGCAATTTCGAGACGCATTACGCACGCATGGATGCCTAAATAAGCAATAAGGGATTAGGGAGCGATTGGGTCCATAATTACAAGCCTCAAGTGTGTGGTTCCTAGATAATATTATTGGCTATTGTTGGGCCAGCTAAGGTACTGGGCCAGAGCTCTTTTTAGCCGTATTATCTACCATAGCTGAGAGGCGCCTTTCAATAATGGAGTCTTTAGTTAAAAACAGGTGCTATGAAAAATAAATTCTATGCAAATCGAACAATTCTGTTAAGATATGTATATGGCTTATTAAAGCGGGACTTTATTGTATATACTTTTTATTATCAGACATGTTTTCGTTGCAAAAGTTTAACATTTACTGATTTTATTTGTTTCAGACAGATGCTGGTCGATGCTCTTTCAACTAAAGATAGCAATAGAATTAGGAATACTTTTAGCAGCAGAGTTAAAAATTGTTAAAAAAATTGAACAATTATACTATTTTCATCGTTTTGGAGACGAATCTTTCAAAATATATGAGCTCGAACGAGTTGTATGTGTACAAGTGGGTTTATAATGAAATATTGCTGATTTACAACAAAACACCAGCACTACATAGAAATACTTGGACTGTTCAATTGAAATGCTCGGTCAATCTTGCGACCACTTCAGTGGGGAGGAATTGCGTGCGAAACTCTTCCTCTCGCTCCAAAGCCCACTTCCGAATGCTGCAAACACAAAATGACAACAAATAAGTCTACTTCAAAATGATTTAATGACAAACATCAAATAAACTGCAATAACAAGTCGCGCACTCCCCCCGTTGAGTCGCCCTTGTTCCCCGCCATTGAACTATGGTACAGTCCAGCGCTCGGCGATAGGCCGAAAACAATATGAACATAATTATTAATTGCGAATAATTTTTCTTAAGACTCATTAAGTGTGGCCGTCGCACAGACGCCGCTGCCCGCCCCCTCGTCCACGCCTCAAAGCTGGCCCCGCGCGCTTCCTAAATGACAAAGAATTGACAGCCCATAAATTAGAAAGTAGCTCAGCAGGGCACAAGGGGATGCAAGTTGTTCTCCTTATACTTGGTCCTGTCCTCTCCTGGTATTGTGTGGTCGTTGTTGTTGTTGCTGTTGGCGCTGTTTTTGTCGACATGTTTAAATGTGTTAAGCCGACGGAAGTGACATTTCTCTTATTCATTTCTCTCCATACCCTTAGCTAGTTGTTGTTGTTGTTGTTGTTGTAGTGCTGCGTTGTTGGTCACGTGTCCACGCGTTTGTTGGCATGTCTTCCGATTTGTTGTCATTGTCAACTTGGCTAAGATTTGGTGCTTAGCTCTATTGTTGAGGCTGGCCACGGTGGCTGGCGTCAAATTGAAGAGGTGTGCTTCATAATTGTGTACGTTTCAAAGATTTATATGAATAGTGTTCGCAGTGAACAAAAATTAACGATAACTCCTTAAGATATCGATTGAATGTAACTTCAGAGTGAAAAGAGAAAAGGGGATTACTGACATCGATAGAGAATGTAAAATGCAGATCAGATAATGTTTCTAGCTGATTCTTAGAACCTAACATATTCAACTGAAAGTTATAGAATAATTCTATCATTTTTTTTTAAATTTATTTTACCAATAGGGTTTCTGGAAGTGGATAGTCACAGGCACAGGTTTCTATGAAGAGACAATCATTTCAAATAATAACCTTTCGGCCATCATTAAGCTGTATTTTATTTTAGTTATTTAGTGTATAAATACAAACTAGTATACCCTTTGGGTACAGGGTATACAAATAATACATACATTTGTTCCAAATTATTTTAAACCCTAATCATCTTTTCGTCGATTGGACTATATGCGGGGGGTGCCGTCGATTGGGATATAGCTGGTGAAGTGGCGCTTCGCATTTCCTGGAACTTATTGTATACAGCGTACAGGGCGCACGACAGATAGCCTATGGAATGCAAAGATAACGCATTTCACAACTTATACTAACGAATTCGGGTAAAAAATATACATACTCGTGAAAATGAGCACCAGAAACCAGGCGATAACTTGAAAATAAATTTCAATATAGAAGCTTTCTATAGCTGTGTATATCAGTGAATAGATAAAAAGGGCGGTCATTATCATCCATGGCAGCAGGAATTGATGTTTATCCTGTAAATTGAAGATTTCAATTAGGCATTGGCAAAAAGCAATAAAAGCTTTTAGCAAACCTTTAAAACGCCTACAATAAGCACTATGCTGGCGAATATTTCTATACCAGAAATGTGAAATACAATTTCTCCCCCATACACTGCAAAAGACATGTAGTATTACCATTCGCATACAATTATTATAATCGCATAATCTTATTACTTACTGTAAAACACAGTTCTTTGTAACGATAAGAATATGATCACCATAGCGATCGAAATGACACCGGAGGCAATAATGCCTCTCTTACTTTCCAACATTTTCAACATTTTGGCGATGAACGACCACATTGTGCGAGAACGTAGAATAGACTAATATTGTAATGGCGAAATATGAACACAAGTTTATTTTAAGACTTTGTTTACATGAACAGAACAAGCTCGTTATCTACACAAATACAGCGTTATTTCTGGTGAAATACAGTACTCGATTGGGAGCTTTTGGAAATGCATTGCGCTCACCAGTGAAAATGATAAACGAGCTTTTGGTTTCCCTTCTAAGAGAGGGAGAAAATATATTTATTTCTAAATGAACATACAATATTATTTAATTAATGAAGTTCATACATACATACATTTCAATGGACTCATATTTTTACAATACATGCACTCTTTCAACTTTTTTTGCAGGCACTTTCCTGTATTTGCGTTCCTGAACTGGCAGCTTGTCCGTCTGTCCGTCCATATAAGCACCTCGATCTTAGAGACTATAGAGATAGAGAGATAAAGAGACAAAATTTTGCAGAAGGGTGCCTTGTGTGCTATACGAGTTCGTTTTATTTTCTTGATTCCACCCCTATGGGGGATTTGTGGAAACGCTGTTCGTATAATCACCCATATCTCGGTGACTGTATGACCTAGGGACAACAAATTTTATTCCAGGATGCCTTATATAAATACGCAGAAAATGTGTATTTTGGAATTTCCCTCCCTTCCCCCTCTCCCCCGCAATCGCTGTTTTTCCAAAACACACGAGACATACACAAACACACACATACATGCATAGACATGCATAGACACGCATAATTATTCTACACATATGTACAGAGAATTTCAAAATCGGAACACCCAACTGTAGCTCCTCTATTTGTTGTTACTCCTCGAGAAATACAGTACTCGATTGGGAGCTTTTGGAAATGCGCGCTCACCAATGGAATAAACGAGCTTTTAGTTTCTCTGCCTATGGTTCTAAGAGAGGGAGACAATATATATATTTCCGAATGAACATACTAAATCATTTAATTAATAAAATACATATATATACAGACAAGTTACATATGAATGAACTCATCTTTTTACAATACATTGACTATCTCTACATCTTTTACAGGCACATTCCTGTATTTGCGCTCTTGAGCTTTGTACATTTTATCCAATTGCTTTTGCACCGCAAGCAACGCACAACCGAGGTAAGCTATGTGTGTATATATAATATATTGGAATAATTAGGGGTAGTACATGAATTAATGCGAATACATTTACTTACCTATGATCGCAATCGATGAGAGCAAGGCAAAGTCAAATATGCTGCCGTAAACTATAATTTTGACCATTGAATGAAGTAGAACGTAAATGAAAAACTCGTTTGATATCATCCATGGCACATACAGTCTATAGTCGTTCTATATTTGTATATCTTAATAACAAATCGAAATGTATTTAAAATTCCGTAAACTACTTGCCTTAACAACGCCCCCAATCAGTAATAATCCACAAGCAATTTGTAGCGGGGGTACGTACTCCAATACTCGCTCACCTTTCACTATAAAGTAAGAGAAATTTCAAATTAATCGATCTGGTTGGAATCACAGAGCATTATGACTTACCATAGTCGTATGAGCCATTTAGCTGGAAGAGATACACTGCTGCCAAGAGAGCTGAAACAATTCCTGTTGAAATTATGCCAGTTTTTGTTTGCAACTTCGAAATCAACTCAGAAATCATTCTCCAAAAGAAAACCGTCCGCACAGTTGAAGATTTTAAAGCAACTAAAATCCAATTGAGCCATGAAGTCTATTCCGACGCATTGATAACGTAAAGTAGTTTAAAATACTCTTTTTGGAGCATGCAACTTTCATTCTATAGCACACCAAAACAAAATTATGAATGAAAACACAGCAAGATAAAAAAAATCCACATTTAAATAATTTGTAAGAGTTTAGCTTCATAACGTTAATAAAAAATGTGTAATATGTTATAGGATGTGTAGCATTTGTAGAATCACAAATAGTATTTAAAAATACGACCAGAGTATTTAGATTTCGGTGCGGCAAAGGCAGAGTTTTCTTCCACTTTTTATCTTATCGTGCGCAATCAATGCTTATGTCTCATGAAGAGCAGTCTACGAATCATTTTAAAACCGAGAGTTTGATATGCGAGGGCACAACAATTGGAATTATTAGCAGACTAATTGAAATTATTAACTGAATAATTTAGACCTTTTTGGTGAAACTACATTACATTTGCATTCCTCTCCTGCAAGCCATAGTGAAAAATATTACTTGGTGTGTGTGTTTTTGTAGATGTGGCACTGAAATTAAATCAAACAACGAACTCCTTAAACTACATACTAGTTTATTCTTCTCGTAGCTTTTGTAACAGCCAAGACCGATTATTTATTCTTCGGACCTGCACAATTTTCATGCTGCATTATCAGTTCCCGAGCGATCAAAATTATGTCCCATTAACGCATGCGCCCACCTACAACTTCAACTTCAACTAACAATAGGCGCTAATGTCTGGCAATTAGCGGGATGGGGGGGAAAGCTAGCCACCATGCTGATAGAGATCAAGTTGGAAAAGGCAAGGATTGCTTGGGCGGAAACATGCATTAGGTTTCGAACAACAAATACATCATCATGACATAAATGAATCCTTTTTTTGTGTGTCTCTACAATGTGGGCTAATATTTCACTTTGGTTGTTCATGCGCCGTTGCACCTGTCCTTTGTTCATTGTCGACCACATTCTGTGGTTGCTATTCCTACGCCAATTTGTGACCGTTATCTTTTCATTCGTATACCCTACGGCTAGCTATTAAAACGTACATTCGTTCTGCGACAAAACTTGTAACCAAGAAGTGGCAAAGACATGACAATTGAATAACCCTCAGAATTATTAAAAACCATTTTTATGATAATGTTTCAGATCTAAAGAGCAATCATAGTTCACGCAATGTCTGTAGATTCCTTAAAGTACACATAAAATCCATGATGATTGGAATGAATTGGGAAATAATTGTAGCGATTTGCAGTTCTTTGTTTCCAATAGCGATCGGAGCAACAACAATTGAAGAGGGCAGCTGGTAGTCGAGAGCATTCGCCTACTCTAGAATTCCATTATATTGTTGGCTAAAAGTCCCGCCAACAACAAAAACAAATAAGCACTGACATGACATTCCATTAGCACACAATTTATCACTGAAAGAGTGAGTACAACTTCCTACACTTGTTACCTGCACTCTCGCCCGATCTTATCAAGGCCGGGCGCTTCCTTGCCTGCTCGCTTCCTGCCAGACTGACCGACCAGGACCCCCTCTGCGTTTTATGCATAATGCAGGCAATTAGTCAAACGTTTGCCAACCGAGCGCTGACATTAATGGGCGCATTTTTGTGCATTTTGTAACCAGAATAAAGTTCTCCCTTGCTGCCTTATTTCTCAGCTCAACGCCTTCGGAGCCAAGGTGTGTCAAAATTTATGCACCTGATCGCTGCACGTTGATAATTTTAAATATCTTTCGCACCCTCCCTCAACGTTCTCAACGTCCTCAAGCAGCGACGCCTGGCCGACTCCAACAACAACTTATCCATTTAGTATGCTAATTTCCACTGCCTTTTAACGCCTCAATTTTTATGGTCGCCTATGGTTTTGTCGGCGCCCTCTCCGGGCTTGTAATTAAGTCTTTAGGTTGCGTCACCGCCACCTATCCAAAAACTTGGCTCTTCCGGACTGGGTTAGATGCTTAAATAGGCGTAAAGTTCCCATAGCCGACAGTCCAATTTGCATTTATATACGTTTCAATTTTCGAAAATGAAAAGTTTGTGAGTTGTAAAAAATGTTTACTGTTTTTTAATAGTTTATTCCTGGGCGCGATTTTACGAGGCGGTGGGCAAGAAAAGAAAGCAGGTGTTGTTCAACTGAGCTGTTTTAATTTCATTAGCCAAGTTTATACTTAAGAATGACAGTTGCTGCCGTGGGGTTACTAATCATAAAATGGATTTTTATGGGTATTAAGAAATCGCTGTGTGACAAATTTATTAAGTTTTCAAAATAAAATAATAGAAAAATGTATTACAACCGGAAGCAATATGTTAATAACAAGAATGGATTGATTGTTAATATTTAATGCATATTTTTTAAGCACCTTCTGCAACTACATTTTCAAAGTTAGAGAGTTCTTGATACCAGATATTTTTATGAAGTGGATTCATATTGTTTGTGTGACTGAGGCCCAACACTATTTCTATGTTAAGTTGAAATTTCCAAATATTAACAACTGTCGAAATAATTTTGATAAGCAATATCTTTTTGAATACTGACGTCTTTTTTCTCTAATCTAATCTAATCTGTTTGGCTTGAATTGACGTCATTCTTTATGTCGATAATCAATTCCACAAAAGCTTCAGCAATTGCCCACATTGGAAGCAATCCAAAAAGAATAACACAGGCATTACAGTTTACTGAAGCTCGTATGTGTCTTTAAAAGCAACAAATATTTGCAAAAAGCTTTATCTTTCCATTGAACTATGCTTCTATAGTCACGTCACGTCGCGTCGGCCGATTTCTATTAGTCATACTTTGAATTTCTCATATAATAGAGAATGAGGAGAAAAAGAGAGATACAGAGATAATAAAAACATCAGAAACGTGTTTTACTGTACAAGGGAACTAGAGAAGACTGCACAATTCTTCTAATGAAGAATTGTCCAACTTGTTAGCTATTGGACGCATACACGCACGGAAGCATATGCCGATTTTATCAGACAAATCGTTATAGGAAAAACATACAACAAGTAACAAAAATAAATACCCCTACTGACATAATTTAAAAATGTGAAATTCTAATTAATATCAGACTGATGTAGGCGAGTACTTGCGAAGAGTTGTCGTTCAAAAGAAAATGTTAACTAAGTAGCTATTCCAGCTCAAAGAAAATGAATACTCTAATCATGTTTTAGAAAGAATATAAAAAACATAATCGCACTATTTATTGCCATGATACAACATTATTTTGTACTCCAGCTCACACGCACAAAGAGGTCGGCCAGCCTGCCAACAAATGATGATTAGCATCCCTCATTTCGACATCTGTTACATTTAAATATGCCCTGCATATACCGATGTACTCGTATCTTGTCTATGAATATAACCTACCCAGGTTGCATTCCACACGAACTACCGAAGTGACGAAATTGCCGTGTTGGTGGCGGTATTTTATGCATTAACCCAACCAAGCAACGGGGGGCTTAAACAATACAACTACCCCACACCACTATAGAGACAACTTAGTGGTAAGCGCTCGACTACATACATATCTGCCCACATTTCTCTAGCTTCGTTGCTTTTTGATAATATTTACCAAAAACGCCAAGTCACCGTGGACTGAGGGGAAAGGCAAGGCTCGGTGTCCTGCACGTGCAATTTTTGCTTGATGTTGTTATTGCCGCTGTGCATGGGTCTGTTGCCAGGTCCGCTATAAGCGCATTAGAGTTCATTTTTTAGAGCCAGTCGATGGTGGAGAGGGAGGGGGAGGGGTGGTGCTGCCTTTTTACTTATTGTTTGCATATGTGTAACAATTAAACATTTGTTGCTGGCAGACATTTTTTATGTGCCCCGCACTATCATTAACACCACCACCGCCAAGCAACCCACAGGCATGTCGATGTCGAAGTCGGTGTCGACCAGCCCAGTCAGCCAGCCAGCCAGTCAGTCAGTCAGTCAGTTGGTCCGCCCAGCAAGTGCAAAATCTGTGAGTGTTATCGGCTTAATTATTATTATGAGTCCCAGGGCGACGGGTGTTGTTGATGGCTCTTGCCCCACTTGACTTGCGCCTGCCCCTCGACCGTTTATTTGCGCAAGCCATAAACTTGGATTTGAATATGTTTGCGTTTTAAATATTTGCCTGTGTCGGTTTATTCATTTCTTTATTCTTCTTTTTCTGGTCTGGCTTATAATATTTTACTGATTTTTAAGCCGCTTTGCTGCACATGTGCACTTTTTTTTTGACTACTCATATAAGCAGTTAATAAAATGATTAGTGGAGTGGACGCCCCATGCAAGAAAGAAAGAAAGAAATGGCCAACTCCACAACTTTCCTCTAATTGCACCCCAAGGAGGTGTAATAAAAACACAAATTACATTTCGCTGTGTGGCTAGTTTCCTCTGCGTGCTAGTTGTTGTGCGCACAAAAAACCAAAACTAATCTAAAACTGAGCGCGACATTTGACTTTTTCGACCCGACCGCAACTGTAAATTAAATGCTGTCAATGGGACAGTTGGGCAAGAGTTTCGAGGCGCAGGTGCGAGCGGGGTTCCAAGGGTCGGGGCTGTAGGCAGCATATGGCAGCTGCTTTCATTATTCCTATTGACAGGCACAACTAACGGCATTATTTAGGCGAGGCGTTGACATTTGTTACAAGTGTCTCCCGGGTACGCACAGGAAGGCAGGCTAATCAAAGAGGTCATTAGAACTGACGCCTTTCTGGGCAGGGGGTTAGGGTCAGTGATCTATTTGACTTGTTCGTTGTCATACTACCATATGAGTTGCACTTTTCAAATGATCTAATTAAAATTTGAAAGGACAAACGGAGCTGAGGTGAGGGTTTGTGTGTTCAATTGAAATATATTTAAAGATTTGAACAATTTCGAAATGTTTCTTTATTTAAAGTAAATACAATGATTACGTGATTAAGGTATTTATTATTAATCAATACTCCAGTTGTGTGAATGATTAGTCACGC